GTCAGGGCGGCTGCTAGCTGAGGAACGCAGCGTTAACACAGCAACGCTTTGACCAGGGCAGGAAGCGCTGATTCCGGAGGAGCCTGCCCGCGGCTCCCAGCAGGGGCACCGAGCTCAGGAGCGCGGAGGCTTCGTTGCTGGTACCTGCCCTGAGGCTTGAGGCTGGAAGCTGGCTGGGGGGTCCAGGGAGGTCACTTCGAAACCCTGCCGACTGCACCACTTTTTTTTTTTTTTTTTTTTTTTACTGACATTAAGGCTATTGAGGTAGAAATAATTTGATAAAAGTTTATTGGAAGCCAAACGCGAGGCTTGGCCTGGGAAGACACACCAACCAAGCAGGCATGTTGTGGAGTCTGCTCCGTGGGATGCTTTCGTGGGAGAGGGATGGGGACACCCCCTCTGCTGGAGGATGCCATGCAGTCTTCCGCTGCAGACAGCGACATGCGGGCTGCGGGGTCTGCCTGCAGGACGGTCGGTAACCCTCACGATTCAGAAACAGATCTGTGACTGCTCAGTGTCGTGGGCTGTGCAGTAATCAGCGTATCAACCAACAGCGCGAGGGCCTCCCGGTCAGACCCTTGGCTCGGGTGCGGACGCGAGCCAGGAGTCACAGGCCCTCCCAGGCTGTTCGCCCGGAAGCCAAACGTGACCCATGGTGACACCGACCTGGTCCTTGCGCAGCTGCGGGAGGCGGCGCTGTGCAATCAGGTGCTCCCTGCTCTGCCTGGGGGTGTGCCGTGGCCACGGGCTGCTGCGGCTCTGCCCCTCAGCACCCTGGGCGTCGGCCTGCGCCCCCCGGGACGTGTTCCTGCTGCTCCCGCTGCGTGCCCCAGACGGTGCCGACTGGGCTCTCGGGCAACTTTCCTGGAGCTCTGTCCAGCCGCGGGCGGCTCTGCCTGGCTCTCCCACACCGTTGGGGCTCGTTCATCTGCACGTCTTCACGTGTTACGTTTTGCGGGATTTGTGCTGTGCGCACCACCCCTGAGCCACTGCCCGGCGTCTGAGCGGCACCCACAGCACAGCGGTGCGCCCCACCCCCTCATAGGTATCTGAGGCAGGCTGAGTGAGGCCCCCAAAGACGCCCACCTGACCCACAGCACTGTGGATACAGTGCCTCATGTGGCCACAGGGACTGCACGGGTGGGGTTAGGGGTCTCGAGATGGGTGGGGTTAGGGGTCTTGCCTGGGTCCGTGTCAGCAGGCGAGGCGCGGGGAACCGGGCAGCCTGGGGAAGGTGTGAGGCAGGAACGCAGCTGCCTCGGGCCTCCAGGAGGGCTCAGCCTCGCCCACGCCCTGGGCTTAGCCCAGTGCGACTTCTGACCTCCGGAACCATTAAGGAATCAACCTGATTGTTTTAAGCCACTACGTTTATGGTGATTTGCTGTAGCAGTAATAGGAAGCTATCAATAATATGGTAGCTGTTTCTTCTCTCTGGAAATGTCTAGGGTTTTCCTTAAATCCTTGGTGTTTTGAAACATTCAGTCTCATCATAGAACTTTTACAATATTTGCCATTTGTTTGTGATCCACCTTGCTGGCCCCGGCTGGAGGTTGTCATCTTGGGCCTTGGGACGGTCCCTCTAGTGTCGTGTCACCATCACGGATTCGCCGTGGCAGCCGGTGGGCCCCAGGCTTCGGGGGCCTTGTCGCGCTCCTGCAGGCTTTAAACTAGGAACAAAGACAGTGCTGAGGACCTCACAGCGGAGGCAGCCTGGAAAGGGACCCCAGGGGACAAGAGACCACACAGAATGAAACCTCAGCATTTGGGCCGGGTCCCAGAGGGCCCCTGGGCTGGTTTGGGGGGCTCCGTGGCCCATTCCTGGCCCTGGTAGTGGCACTCAGGTGGCCGAGGGCCCAGCCATGACTGTGGGATGTCATGGCCTGGGGAAGGCTCAGTGTCCCCAAGCCGCCTCCGTAACCCAGACAGCCCTCCCGGCCCTCAGAGCCCCCAGCCTCCGCAGACAGGCCCTGCGCTGCCCGTGACCCTAGGAAAATGCTTTTCTTCCTGGTTTTGTCTGGCACCGTTCCTCTGCCTCTGTCATCAGCTAAATTGCTAGGGTTGCTGCTTTGTTTTAACAAAGGTGTTCTGAACCTCGAGAGGGCCTGAGCACGCGCTGGAACTGTCACCTTGAGGCCGAGAGCGAGGGCTGGCTTGTGCCGAGAGAACTCGCCCGCGAGACGCAGCCCTGTGCTCGCAGAATCGCGGATAAACTCCTCTTAGAGTTCAATGTCAAACGTCTGTCTCCCGATGAACATGCACTTTGTGTTACTCGTTAGTGAGGTTTATAAAATCTAAAAGCCACGGGCTCTTCTTTTTCCTCACCTCAGCTCCCGGAGCTCAGCGTTCTGAGGCCGGCTGGGCCGCGTCCGCCTGCAGCCTCCGCGAGCTGCGGCTCTGCTCCCCGGGGGCCACCTCCTGCACGCGGGTGTGAGGGGCGTCTCTCTGGCAAACACGGACCGTGTGGCGTCCTTCTCTCCTCCCGACAGCTACACCTTCCAGCAGGTCCAGGAGCACACGGACCAGATCTGGAAGTTCCAGCGCCACGACCTGATCGAGGAGTACCACGGGCGCCCCCCCGCCCCGCCGCCCTTCATCCTGCTCAGCCACCTGCAGCTCGTCATCCGGAGGGTGGTCCTGAAGATCCCAGCCAAGCGTCACCGGCAGCTCAGTACGCGGCCTCCCGTCACCTGAGCGTGTCCCGGCAGTGTGGGGGCAGGCGGGGCTGGGCAGCTCCTTGTAGAGCCCTGGCTGCGTGGCGGGCAGGCAGAGCTCTCAGGCCACTGTCTCCCTGGCCTGGAGCAGATGCCGGGGACTGAGCCCAGTGCCCCCTCGGAGCAGGTGTGGGGGGACCCCTCTGTCAGGGTCCCCAGTAGGTCAGGGCCTCAGGTGCCCTCCCACCAGGGTTTCAGGTCCCCTGTGTCTGTCCCCTGCGCTGACAGAGAACAAGCTTGAGAAGAACGAGGAGGCCGCCCTGCTGTCCTGGGAGATCTACCTGAAAGAGAACTACCTGCAGAGCCAGCAGTTCCAGCAGAGGCAGAGGCCGGAGCAGAAGATCGACGACATCAGCGACAAGTACGGGGGGCCGGGGCGGATACTCTGGGCAGCCCCGCAATTCTGCAGGCATGAGACACACCCCACCTGGGCAGGGAAGCCCCCTGCGGTTCCACAGGCACCTGGGCCTGTGGTAGCCACTGGCCCATGGCCCTCCAGGTCTGAGGGAAGGCTGGGTCCCCAGGGTGAAGGTCCGAGGCCGGGAGGGGAAGCCCTGCTGGGTTGGAGGAGGGAGGCCTGGGAGGATGCCCACGTAGGAATTCCGGACTGTCTAGGGATGGTTCGCCCTGCGAGCTCGCTGGTGCATGGCCTCCCGGCAGCTTCTGCAGGTCCTCGGGAGCACAGCGCTCAGCACCGCCCCCTCGTAACCCTCCTGCCGGCTTCTTCCCCGCTGCAGGGTCAGTGCTGGGGAACGGTCTTCTGCCCCCTCCCTCACTCCAGCCCTGAGCCCTGGCAGGCGCCAGCAGGGCCTGACTGCCCAGCAGCAGACGGCTGGGAGGGCCTGGACCCAGGGTTCTGCTGCCAGTGTGTGTCCTACTGTGTCCAGGCCCTGCCCCTGCCTGGCTGCAGGCTCCTCATCACCTGAGGGGAGGAGCAAGAGAAGGGACATGGTGCCACCCAGTCACGGCAGCGGAGGTGCCTGCAGGCTGTGAAGAGGGTATCCTGGAGCTGCAGGGAGTGGCCAAGAGCATGGGCTCCAGACAGACCAGGCCGAGTGGCCCCTTCTTAGCAACATGTGCCTCTGTCTGTTTGCGCCTCCCTTGCCTCCTCTGTAAGATGGAGACCATGATAGCACCCATTACCTGGAGTTGTTTCCAGAACGCAGTGGGATCATGGCTGTAAAGCATTGAGCACATATATGCTTGAGCCGTAACCAGTGCTCTGCTAGCATGGGGTTTTGCAGGTGCATGAGTGATGACAATGGTGATGATGACGGTGGTGGTGGTGATGATCGTGGTGGTAGTGATGGTGGTGATGGTGGTGGTGGTGGTGGTGATGGTGATGGTGGTGATGGTGATGATGATGTTAGTGATGATGGTGGTGGTGATGCTGGTGGTGATGATAGTGGTGATGGTGATGATGGTGATGGTGTTGATGATGGTGATGGTGTTGATGATGGTGATGGTGATGATAGTGATGACAGTGGTGGTGATGGTGATGGTGATGGTGATGATAGTGGTGATGGTGATGATGGTGGTGATGGTGATGATGGTGATGGTGATGATGGTGATGGCGATGATGGTGGTGGTGATGATGGTGATGATGGTGATGATGGTGATGGTGTTGATGATGGCGATGGTGATGGCGATCATGGTGGTGGTGGTGATGGTGATGGTGGTGGTGGTGGTGATGGTGGTGATGTGGTGGTGATGGTGATGATTGTGGTGATGGTGGTGATGATGGTGATGATGGTGGTGATGGTGATGGTGGTGGTGGTGGTGATGATAGTGATGGTGGTGATAGTGGTGATGGTGATGATGGTGGTGATGATGATGATGATGGTGATGATGGTGGTGATGATGGTGATGATGGTGGTGATGGTGATGGTGGTG